GCCGAGAGGCTGCCGCGCTCCCCGACTCCTGTTGGAAACTCTGTGAGGTGGGAGCTGGGAGAGCAGCCCACGGATGGGGAGACGTGCGCACCTGGGAAGGGAGGAAAGACCATCTCTCCTGCGGATGCAAGGTGGGGTGTGCAACAGCATCAGAGAGCAGGACCAGCAGCTGCTGAGGAGTTTGTGAAGCCCTTGGATGTCCCTCAGTCACTGCTTTCTTGGCCCTGCCGCAGGTGTGAGGTGTTAATGCACCACAACTGACTTCCCACTTTGCTGGTTGTGATTCTGGGTAAATGCGGTGCTCAGCCCAGCCGCAAACGCACTGTCCCTGTCCTTTTTTGTTTCTTATTTCGTCCTTCCATCCTTCTGTCCCTAGTCATGGGTGATCCCTCTTGTGCCTGTGACATACCTGTGTCGCAGGGCTGCACGACTCTGGACAGCACTGCAATCCCAGTGACTTTCCGCTCTCTGCTCTCCATGGGACCAGTGCCTCCATGGCACAGAGGGAAGTCTTCAATCAGGACAAGCCTGGTCCTGCCTAACACTGAGGGACACTGTCCAGAGGGCTGGGAAGTTGCTCAGGGAGATCCCAGAAAGCAAAGAAACTGGTGAATCAGGGAATGCAGACAGATTTTCACTCTAAATCTGCTTGCAGGGTGGCAGGGGAAAGTTCACCTCCTTGAGCAATGTTCAAAGCAACAGGGAAGGAGAGGACCATGCTATATTAGCAGGGCCTGGAGACCAAAACAAAGACAGAGGAGTAAATATAGCAGGGTTCAAACCTTTCCCTGGGCATTCCCTGCGCTAGTGAGGCAGATCTCTGGCCCTACAGCAGCCATAATTCTTTGCCTTGTAAACTCAAAGCCACCTGACAAACACTGCAAAGGCTGGTCAAACTGCATCCACAGGTTCCACACCTGAGACAGGCTACTCTGAATGTGAGCAGGGCTTTCCCTCCCATGTACAGCATCAGGCTTTTCCGAGAGAGAAAAATAAGAGCTCAAACTACCCACCTCTTCACCAAAAATTCCACTAACATAACCCAGACACCCAAAGCTGGTGTCGTGGTTTAACCCTGGCCGGCAACTAAGCACCACGCAGCTGCTCGCTCACTCCCCTTGGTTGGGATGGGGGCGAGAATTGGAAGAGTAAAGCTGAGAAAACTCCCAGGTTGAGTTAAAGACGCTTTAATAAGTAAAGCAAAAGCTGTGCACACAAGCACAGCAAAACAAGGAATTCATTCACTACTTCCCATCGGCAGGCAGGTGTTCAGCCACTTCCGGAGAACAGGGGTCCATCACATATAACAGTTACTTGGGAAGACAAATGACATAACTCCAAATGTCCCCTCTTTCCTTCTTTTTTTCCCCAGCTTTATATGCTAAGCATGTTGTCACATGGTATGGAATATCCCTTTGGTCAGTTGGGGTCAGCTGTCCTGGCTGTGTCCCCTCCCAACATTTTATGTACCCCCCCCATCCTACTCGCTGGTGGGGTGGTGCGAGAAGCGGAAAAGGCCGTGACTCTGTGTAAGCACTGCTCAGCAATAATGAAAACATCTCTGTATTATCTACACTGTTTCCAGTACAAATCGAAACATAGCCCCATACTAGCTACTATGAAGAAAATTAACTCTCTCCCAGCCAAAACCAGCATAGCTGGCTTTGCAAGTGGGCTGGGGCTGTGAGTCCCTGAGGAGGGAGCAAACCATCAGCCTTTCCCTGTCCCCCGGGCTGTGCCTGGTGTTGCTTTGCAATCCTGCACCAGCTGAGGTTTGTCCTCTGTCTCTTCAGAGCCTTTCCTGTGGTTTCCATGATGGAGACAGAGATATCTCAGCCCTGAAAGTGAAGGCAGGGTTCATCCTCCAAGAGTACGGGGAAGAGCTCCATCCCCACTCCAGCTTTTCACTGCAGCTTCTGTCAAAGCTATTTCCATGGTCATTTGGTGGAAAAGTACTCCATCTCCAACAAGGCAGTGAATTTATTTACCATTCTTGCCCTTATTACCATTTAGCATTTACCATTATACCTAGCATTTTGTTTATTAAGCAGTCCTACATATGCAGAAGATGCTAATACAATAAAGAAATTTACTGTCTCCTGGTAATGCCTTGGAAGCACAAACAGTTATCAGTTCTGCTACAGAAGCTGGCACGTGTTCCCTTTTCAGTCTCCTTCAGGACTCTGGACTATGACTACAATTACATGGCGACATTTCTCAGCATTGTGCCACAGTCTCTTGCCAGGTGCTTTTTCTTCTGTGGAGTCTTAGCAGTAGGAAAAATCCAACGTGTGACCCATCTTTAAGTACACTGCTCCTTCTGCCTTTACCTTGCTCATCTTCTCTGGTCTTTAGATAAGGAGCTAAAAGATCTTCAGTGAACAAAAAGAAAAGAAAAAAGCAAAAAGTGAAGGAGATCAGGTGAGGGAAAAATTTAAGCTGCCAGAGGTGTATGGGTGTAGCAGCAGAATATGCAAATGTGCTGGTTTCATCCGTTTCTCTCAATGGGAAGCAGGTGGGTAAGATCAGGCAAAGCTAACATATCAGTTTTCTTGGAAAGAAGATGAGGAAGGACAGGATAGAGCTATTTTCTCCTGGGAGGAGGAGCTGCTGTTGCTTTGGGGCACATGAGAAGCTATCATCTCCACTCCCCTCCTTCGGTGCCCGTGCCAGGGAAGAGCCGGGGGCATCCTTCGGCACCCCAGGCAGCCCTGTGTGGGGAGGTGAGCACGGCGGCACCCACTGGGTTTTGTTCTTCTGGGTTGCCAAATCCCCCCTGAAGTCTGAGGTGCCCTCCCTTCTTTGCAGGTCACAGTCCATGTTTTTGCAGTGTCTCCACAAACCCCTTTCTGCATCCTCCTGCAGGCAGACGGACAGGGCAGCGGCACTGTGAAGGCCGCTGAAGGGACCGTGCCGCTCCTTGGCCGCCCCACCATGCTTCTGGCCTGTGACATGGCTGTGCTTGATGCCCAGCTCGGGCTGCTCCCCATGCGGATAGTGTAAATGCACCTAATGAGCTCTTTCACGGTATTGAGTCTTCCCTGAGAAGCTCTTGCCTCATGGCCACCTTCTCTGGAGGGCTAGGCCTGGGGAGGTGTGGGGCAATGTTCTGGTCCTGCAGCGCACACCTAACGATGGCGGCGTTGGCCTTCCCCACACCCCGCCTGGGCCCTCACACCCAACATGGCCGACCTCAGGGGGCTGAGGACGCTGACTGGCAACTGCCCCGGGGGCCATCTTGGTGCCACCTCATGGCAACCCAGGGGCTGGGCACCTTCTGGAGCTGATTTTTCTGGCTAATTTAGAAAAAAAAACAAACACCTCAGCTTCGTGCTGTGGGTTTTCTCCAGGCGGGGCAAGACAGGGCTTTTTTCCAAAAAGTGAAAACCCGAGACACAGAAAGATGATCCCATGAAAAGACTGTTCTGTGAACGCTCCCTCTCCCCTGGCACAAGAGGGATTTCCTCTTGTTTATGCATTCTCTGTAAAGCGAAACCATCTTCCCACTGCAGCCAGGGATGACTTGCCCTGAGCCCTGTGTGCCGAGGCGTCCCGGTGAATGCACCAGTTACCTCTGGTGGCTTTTGGGCTTGAGTTTCTGTCAGCCCCATTCTCCACCTTGAGTAATCCATTCAGCAAAAAAGCTGTGGAAGACTTGCATTCCCTGCAGATGCCAGTGAAAAAGTGGCGAGTTTCTCCCTTGTGTGTGTGCACGCTTGGTTAAATAAGTTAATGACTGCGTGAAACAGTGACCATATATCTCTGTTTCCACACGTGCATCTGATGAGCGCGCATTAGCAAAGCTACCTTGCGCAAGATAGTGGGGAAAATTATACCTAAGGAAGATACTGAGAAAAGAGTATCTCCGTAAGTCATGGCACTTCTTCTCAATACTCGTATTCAGGGGTGGAACAAGCCTGAGTTCACTTGCAGCAATGAAATGCCCCATTAATCACGTATGCCTTTGAAAGGGATATGTCAGGCTTGGCTTATACGCCTACATTGGTACCTGATCCCATCTAGACAATGCGAGACAAGTGCTTAACAAAGCGGCTCTAGTTAGTAACTTGACTTATTTGTTAGTTTGCTAGTTAGATATAAATCAAAGTGTCGTAATAAGCCAATGATGTAGCGGCAGCTGCAATCTAATTTAGAGAGAAACAGCCTCATTTTGGTTTTCCTGACATGAACACAAAAGACAGTATCAATACTGAAGCCGGTAGAGACACAGCTGTATAAAACTAGTGAAAGGTTCGAATACAAGGGCAAATATATTATTATCTCAATAAAAGGAAACTTAAAATTAGATCAGGTCTATACTTTAACAGTTTTAAATTGCCAACAAAAGAATGCTGACTGCAAGGAATAAATACATCTTGGAGCTATGCCGTGACATTTAAAAATCATTTTACCAATCTGTTAAACGAATAGCTCTGGTTATGTCCTAAGCACTTGTGTGTGTGTAGGAAAAGGTTGCCTCAGCTATGACCCTGACTGATCGCACTTTGAGCGTAATCATTTCTATGGTAGATTGGCCTCCCAAATTTTGCTGTAGAAGCCTATTAACAAGCTGACCTTTGAGGCAATTGCACAAAACACTGTGTAGTGGCAGCAAAGAATGGTCTTAGGAAGGGCCATATTTCTGGCTGGCAATGTAATGGCACAGCTCCATTGACTTCAATTTAGCTATATCTCTTGATATTGGCTGGAGACCAGATCTGTGGTATCTATTTCGGGAAACAAATTTAGAACCAACAAAAATAAATACTTCCAGATGCAGCATTGAGTCAGCATATTGCATTCAGTGCTGCTTGAAAGTATTGAGTCAGTTGGCGCAGAGAGATTTTTAAGAAGAGAGGAATAGTTTTATGACTGTCTATGACATTTATAGACATGCTTGCTTTATCTCTTGCCTCATAAAATATAGGTCACAGGATTATCTTTGCAGGTAGAGCAATTACTTGCAAGTCCAAGGAGAGAAAAGTATAGTATGCATCACTTTGCAGCTAGCTAGATGTATTATGAGGTTTGTTGAGGTTTTCTGCCTTTTGAGATTTCGGACATTGATGAGGTCAGGATGGTGAACTTGAGAAACCAGTGGTTTGAGCCTGTGTAACAAAATCTAGCACTCCTAACTCTAAGAAAAGAGGAAAGAAGAGGTCCACCATGATCCTCTTTAAAATTATTTGACCCCTGCAGCTCTTTGTATTTGTTCTACCTGAACAGAAAATGCAGTCCAATGAAAATATACCACTGAGACAGATTCTGGTCCTGCGGTCCTCCATTGTAAATATGAAATAAGTAGTAGTTTAATGGGCTTCAGCAGGATTGCTGGGGCGCACAAGATCTGCAGAATTTGGTATGAACAAAGTTGCAGGCAGCCTCTGATCTGAAAAGTCCTGTCAGTCCTCAGCTAAGATTTCACCATTAAAGTATAATGCACATCCTTGAACTTTCAGTGTATTTTGGTGGTTCACAA